GGGAAGCAGTTTGGATATTTTTAATTTAAGAAGTCGAGAGGAAAAGTTTATTAGCTGGCTGTTGTAGATCTTTCACCCAGCTGTTGGTGTTTTATACTCTGTATTTGGTACTAAGGATTTATCATACACACAAATGAATAGCATTGTTAGTAGGACTCCACCTGGACGCTCTGCAGTCATTGGCAGGGGCTTCCAGGTGGACAAGGTGGGGTCAGTACAGTCTGGTCCTGAACGCTGAAATTCTTTTGTGGGCACAGGCCAGCCCCAGGCCAGCTACATATTTGTGGGTTAACACATCTGTGTAGAGGGCAGTACGGTCTGTACAGGAAACAAGCTGGAGTTACTAGGCCTGGTCTACACTGGGGGGAGGGGGGAGAATCGAACAATAGTGTAGCTGAAGTCGACGTATCTTAGATCGACTTAGAATCACTTACGTCGCGTCCTCGCGGCGCAGGATCAATGGCCGCCGCTCCCCGGTCGACTTCGCTTCCGCCTCTCTCCGAGCTGGAGTTTGGCAGTTGATGGGAGAGCGATCGGGGCTCGATTTATTGCGTCTACACTACACGCAATAAATCGATCCCCGATAGATCAATCGCTACCCACCCATCCAGCGTGTAGTGTAGAGGTATGTACCCAAAGTTTGGATCCAGCTGGGATGTGCATGTGTGTAAATGGGGGGCTTGAGTCCAGCTTTAGTCTGGTCTTGGCGGGGGCTGGCATGGCTCAATATGGACCTGAAATAATAAAACTAGATCCAGGAAGGTGCCTGCCACTGGGTCATGTGCCAGACGCTGCCTGCCAGGAGCTCTCCTGTGCATGGACAAGACATGCCGTTTGCTCTCTCACCTCCCCATGCCTTCCCTCTAAGGGCGGGGGGGAGCGTTCCCTCTTCTGGGGCCCCCTCTGCTGGCTGAGAGCGGTCACTGCGTCCCGTGAGAGGCTCCGCTTCGCTCCCTCGGTCTGCCCCGCAGTCCCACTCCCTGTACATTTCGAGACAGCTACGTCTGGGGGAAGATGTAATTCCTCTGTCAGAAACTATAACTTCCTCACGCTTCAAGTGCCAGCAGCGGCAGTAAAAGGTTGTCAGAAACGCTCACTGGAGGAAGCAAACAAGAGGAAGGAGCTAATGGGATTAGAAAGATATCATTTAATACTGTCACCCAGCTGGGGCGGAGGGTGGGGACTGGCGACAGCTGAGCGGAGCCGAGCCTCTGAGTCCTGGGCGGGGAGCAGCCTGGTGTGTGGCTGGGGAAGAGGTAGGGTGACCAGACAGCAAGTGTGAAAAATCAGGACGGGGATGGGGGGTAATAGGAGCCTATATAAGAAAAAGACCCAAAAATCGGGACTGTCCCTATAAAACTGGGACATCTGGTCACCCTAGGAAGAGGGGAGCTGCCTTTATGCCTCCCACCAAAAGGGGTAGTTAATTTCACCCTCTTCTGAGAGTGGCTCGCTGTTAAAAATGCTTTTCTAGCCCATCCTCCAAAGACAGTGGGGCTGCTGCTAGCTGCCAGCCCCGCTCCTCTCCTCCCTCGGCTGGGACCTTTCAGAAGAGGTAGTGGGTGAAGAAAAGCCAACGGGCACCCTTGGTGAGGGTGGCATAGTGTGCAGAGAGGGGGGTATGGTGGGGGTCACAGGGAAAAAGAGATAAACCCGTCCATTGCTGTCTGGAATTAGATGGACTAGAACTGATTAAAGGAGGGAAAATTAATAATCTACAGCTCACTCGCTTGTTTGCATTTCTTAATATTATTCGGTGCCCTGGAAATGCAGCAGTCAGCTCTCTGGAGTGAAGGGACCCTAGACATATACATTTCCCTTCCCCAGTGTGAAGTATAGGATCAGATAGGAGAGCTGGGAGCGAGATAAGAACTTTGTATCCTCTTTAATGGGAGATTTATAAGCTTTAGTTTAAATGGCAAACTATCTTTAATAGTCAATGCGTTTTATTTTCTTTTTTCCCCTTCATTCTCCTGGATCCATGACAGAACATCCATTATTTAAAAAAATATAAAATAGGGGAAGATTTTTTAAGCAGGCAACATTAATTTTGAAGTTCAATAAAAAGCTAATGTACAGAAATCCAATTGATTTTTTCGCTAGTTTAAAAAGGTGCGAACATAATTAAACAGTTAATTTTTAAATGTACAAAAACAACGAGGAGTCCGGTGGCACCTTAAAGACTAACAGGTTAATTTGGGCATAAGCTTTCCTGGGTAAAAAACCCATGTCTTCAGATGCAACCCGTACATTTCATACATGTTATGATCGACTGTTATGAAATGTACATACATCCAAACAGTCGCCGTGTCTACCGCTAAATCATAGACCCCGCAGCTTCAACACTCCGGTTTATATTTTATATCGCAGAGTTGAGGAGAGATTAATGAGCTCAAACTAAGATAATTAGGAAAAAAATCGCTAGTAATGTAAAGTTCCCTCTTACAGCAAAGAAGAATAAAGTTTATTCGTGTATAAGTAACTATCCGCGTTTGATAGGGTTCTCAAGGCAAATGGAACAAAAAATGTTAACGAAAGGCATTGCACCTGCGTGTGATGTGTTAGAAAGCTACAGGAGGGAAGTGATTCCGTTTAGCTATTTGTTTCTCCTACAAAGTGAACTGAAACTTGCCGCCTCAGAGATTTCAGCGTTAAAAAATGAGAGAAAGACACAGACCCAGGAGGACACTGTTTACTTAAAGTTTATTGAGTGATTTAAAGTGTTTAGCAAACAAAGTGCTTTCTCTTTCTCTATAATTTTGGACCCCCATTCTTCCCATACCTTATACATTAATTATAAAGTTAAAACTTTCGTAACAACCAGAAATATACATAGATGATTAATGTAAAAAAATGCAACCAATAAATGTCTCTCTCTCCACCTGGTACTGACCAGACATGACTCCTTTCGCGGTCCGTGGATTTGATTTGATTTGATTTTTACCTGTTAGTCGTTTTTTTTTTTTAAGTATGAAAAAATCGTGAGAACGCGAAAGAAAATAACCCATTGTCTTACCAACAATGTGGCGAAGTGACAAGCCTACAGTTTTCTATTTTACCCTGAGAGTCAAATGGGTACATAATCTTTTCAAGTCTTTTACAAGTGGCCAGACAAAAAACAAGGAACAGTGAAAAAATACAGATAACGATGATTTACAGCTACGTCTATTTACAAAGAGGAAAGCGGGAGGATTTTGTCTCTTTCTTCTTCCTCCCTCCCAGAAACCAACTCCGGACACGGCGTGTATAAAAAGGGTCGTAGAAATGATTGTAGGCCAGATGAAAAGTTGTTGCTGTGTCTCCGTGGGGAGGAAGGGATGGGAATTGGGGACAGACAGCTCTTGCTCGCCTAGCGAGAATGGGGCGTTCAGATCGGCGCCAGCCTTTGCCAACCCGGCTGCCGCCCTTTGACATTGCAACTCACGGTTTTCCCCGGCCACCCGCGAGCCTCAGTGTCCCGTCCAGCGGCCGCGTTCCCACGGTGTTAGGATGGTGCCGGGTTCCTTTGCCAAAGTTCCTGCTGGTTCTAAGGCGGAAGCCAACCTCGCTCCCAAGAGTTTTGCTCGTTTTAAATAATAACTGGGGTGAAAGGAACTATTCAGCGGGGGGGGCTTTTAAAAAACAAAAGGCCGAACAAGAGTTTTATTTGGGAAATGCGATTTCATCAACTCTCTCCTCCCCCGCAGTACCCATTTCCCTCTAATGCCCCTGCCCCCCAAACTCAAGGGCTAGAGAAAGCGCGTCGAGTTCGTCAGGAGTTGAGCTCAGGCGGGTGACTGTTTTAGGGGTGGGAGGGCGGGGATGGATATATATTTTTATTATTAAACTATTATTATTAATAATAATAGTTTATTGTTGCTTTGTGAAGTCCTCTGTTCACTGCAGTCCGCGGGGCTGTCCCTTGGCTTCTGGAGGAGCCAGGCGCGCAGAGGGAATTCAGGGGCGTCTCTTGCCCGTTGGGGTGATTGCGAGTTCGGAGCGCGCAGGGGAACTCAGAGCGGGCGCGGCGCGTAGTACCCATCCCACTGGGGCGAATGGGAGCTCTGAGCGCGCAGGGAGAACTCAGAGGGCGCGGCGCGTCGTATCCTTCCCAGGGTCTGCTGCTCCAGCGGCTCGCAGTCCCGGGGCGGGGGGAGGTAGGTTTATAGGTGCGGGGTGTAGAAGGCCGGAGCCCCGTAAGTCTGCGAGCCCAGGACAAAGGGCGAGAGGACGGCGGGGCTGGGCAGGAAGGGCAGCTGGGCAGCGCACACCAGCCCTCCGGTGGGGTGTCCCGGGTAGCCCCCGGGGCCGTGCATAGAGAGCGGGTTGCCCATGGGCGGCGAGTGGCTGAGCGGGCTCAGCCCCCCGCCCAGGCCGCCTCCCCCCAGGCCTCCTCCGGCCCCGCCGCCTCCTGCCCCGCCGCCCGTCGGGGCGCTGGTGTCGGCGCCCGGGTTCTGCTTCTTCCACTTGGTGCGGCGGTTCTGGAACCAGATCTTGACCTGGGTCTCGGTCAGGCTGAGCGACAGCGCCAGGTTGAGGCGCTCGCACACCGACAGGTACCGCGTGGACTTGAACTTGTTCTCCAGCGCCACCAGCTGCTCGTAGGTGAAAGCGGTCCGCGCCCGCCGGGGCTTGCCCGACTTGGAGTCCGAGCCCGTGCGCTTCCTCTTGGGCTTGGCCTGCGGGCCCCCGCCCGGGGCAGGAGGTTGGGCCGGCGGCGGCTGCTGGCTGCCTGGCTCCCCGTCCTCGGGGTGGTGGCCGGGCTCTGCCTCGCCGGACCCCGCCACGCCGCCCAGGCTGCTGCTCTCCTCGCTGCACAGCTCCTCCTCGTCCTGTAGCTCGCTCTCCGGGCTGGGGCTGGGCCTGCTGCTGTAGTCCAGGTCGCACTCCTCGGCCTTGTACAGCTCCCCATCCTCTGCGCACAAGCAAGGAGAGGCGTTAGCTTAGCAGCTCCCATCCCACCCTGCCCCAGCACCCACCCACCCAGCCTGGAGAGGGCCCTGTGAGGCCCCCAGCTCTACAGCCAAGCTGAAAGGGATAAGAAAAGATGGCCCCCAAACCTAAATCCAGGCTGTTTACACACACACCTACTGGAAAGGGGGGTGGGGGCAGAATCCAGGCTCCAGTGGGGCACCAAATGCGAATCTGCCCTCCCAGCCTCCAGTCCAAGCTCCTTAGGCCAAGCCACCCTCTGAAGGAGAAGTAGAATTGTTAGAGGGCAGGGGGAAGTTGGCAGTAAATTGCCCTGTTTTCTTTCCTCAAGGTCGCTGCTGGGCCTCAAACTGGAAGGACTTGGAATGAAGGTGATGTGAGGTTTCCTACATTTTTGGGGGGTACACAGCAAAATCATTCATCCTAAGAGAGGCACTTTATAAACCCTGTCCTACCATTCTTGCAGCATGAGGGAGTCTCCCATATCCCCTCCCCAAGGGAAGGAAAGGTGGCAGGCCTGGAGCAAATTCGCCCTTTGCAAAGAGGAAATTTAGGGAGAGCCCTCTTGACCTGAAAGGATTGCGTTGTAAAGCTCTCTGGGAGAAGATTTTCCTTTGAGTCGTGAGTGGTTTCTGTCCCTTGTAAACACCATACATATGTACTAAGTATTTAGATGGGTAAATGGGCATGGGAGAGAAGATAAACGGGGCTTGCAACAGTTGCTTTGTAGATCACGGTTTATATTTTCCCTTTTCACTGTAATCCGGATGGCACAAATATTGCAAAAATTCAGAAAAATAAATTTCAGTGAGTGTAACTTTCTAAAACGTTAGGGGGTCTGTCTCTATTGTAATAACTCTGAGGGAGGAATCTTCCATCCATAGGTTCTCCGAATAGGAAGTCCCGAAGTGCTTTTTAGTAAGAAATCACCTTTGTCTAAACCTGGGACACCGTATATAATAGCTTCCAATCCTAAAACTCTAACTGACCAAGCTAAACGCTTTACAAATATAGAACATTACTTAGTGGACAATAATGAGAAGTCCTACTTTGTAATCATTCTTTGTTCATCATCCGAATTAAAAATGATTGTGAAATGCTAAGGAATAAAATTGATCTCATTATTGCTTGTAGAAGCAACCACAGTATCTTCCATGGCACTTCTTTCCAGAAGCATCAGGAATGCTAATATTAAAATATTGAAATCATTTGACATTTTTAGAAGTTAGACATCTCTTTATACAATGGCTTCAGAATAGAGATTTGAAAAATTAGGGCTTGAGAAATGAACAATAACTAATATGGAACATTTTGGAATGACACAGTGGTTTTCTGTAGGAAGAAAAGAACACCCTTGCTATTACTTTTTATTTTAGTTATTTAAATTATCTGCATTGATGGAAGATTTGCTGCCTTCTGTTTTGGCATGTTTTTAACCGTTTCTGTGCCTTGTTTGTTCTCGTGCTGTTCCTAAGGTAGAAGTATTAAACTGGAGTAAATACTTGTATTGATTAGCAGAGCAGATACAAACTTAATTAAACTCATTTTGTGTAATGTACAAACTAGTTAACGGTCATTTAATTTATTTGGGTTTATATTATGCTCCAATTAACGGGACTCCAAATGAGAACAAGGTAATTATCCGATATTTAGGGCCGTTGTACTTCTGGGGAAGATCAAGTCGTTATGAAACCTGAAATAATATTTGTAAAGGAGTCGCTTCTCCCTGTGGATCATGCCTCAGACATTTCTGACACCTTGAAGACCGGATGCTGTATTCATTTGACCATCCCAAAGTCCCAGAGAAGTAAAAAAGGAATTTAGGAATACATCAAATGCAGGATCGGGCCTCAAGCTGGAGTAAAATAAATAAAATACCTTGTCCTCATCACATTTAGGTACTTCTAAACTTCCTGAATCAGTCTGCCTTTTACACCTAGATAGCCCACTATAGCTATTATGTGTAAAACCCCCCTCCCTCCCACAAATTAAATAGCGAGTTGATCATTATGTGTTTACTTTAGTCATTTCAGTTCCATAAATACTACGGCTATACAGTCTCTCTCAAACTTTGCCAAATCTTAAAACCAAATGCTGCATATTCAATTAGGTGATTATTTTTAATTGAGAAATTTAAAAAAGTGAAAAGATTTTGTTCTGCGAAATAAGCTGATTTCGGCTAAGCCTTGGATATTGCTTGCTCCCTACGGGAAAGAGAGAGAGACAAGTTTATTATAGTCACCTTAACCCGCAAAACCAATGTTTAGTAATCTGGGGACTTTTTAACGAATAATACTTTCCATCTTGGTGTTAAAAATTAGAAAATGGAAATTTGGAATTATGACAGATATATAGAAATATGAGACTATGGTTAAGGGGGTTTTAAATGTAAAATAGTGTATGAAGATGAAATAAAGTTCAAATAATCTACATCGAGTAGAAATTAAATTATAGATGGATGCCATTGTATATGATATTTTTGTACACACACCTTTCCACATATTCTTGTTGCAAACATATACGAGTGTTTATATGTGTAGGGGTAAAAATAACAACATACTTACGTTCAATACAGATGACACAGAATGTGTGTGTTGATTACTTTAGGGGTTTTTTTTGGCAATAATTTCTAAACATTCCCCAGCCCCTTTTCAATAAGGGAATATTAAAATATTTTCTAAACAACAACTGCACTGGTAATTGTCCAAGGCAACATCACTCTGGCTTTGCAACTGTTAATGCAAACCAAATTAACCAGAGTTTTGTCAATTATTTATAAAACTAAATGTGTTCTGCAAGATGAACTTAAATATTTTCTATTTTCAATGTAGTTTTTCTGGGTGTAGAGAATCATAATGATTTTCGGATCATTTTCCCCACCCCCACTGAACTAAACCAACTGCTTGATCTACGGTTACCCAAGGTGATGGTGATGATGGGACCATAATGCGATTAACTTTCATTATTTCTGAGTACTCACAAATCTATTTTTGCATGTTTCTAGCTTTACAAAATATTAGCCTAGTTAGGACCGAAGAGATAAATCGTGCAAAATCTCTAGGCAACTTGTCATTGGGCAAAGTTTAGTATTGCATGAGGTTTCTAAATATATTTACTATTAGAGAAATGAATGATAGAATTGCATTTCTCTCCTTGTCTGGAGATAAAGTAGAAGATTGGTGATAGGCTGACCTCGTCGGTCTTTCTGATTGAACAGATCTATTTAGTATGACAAAAGTCAGATCTGTGTAGACAAATACTTACTTTAGGTGTACTCGGAGTTTTAAAAATCTCTTTGGAATTCTGTTTACGTCTAGCTCCTGCTATTGCTTTGATGATTAAAAACAGCTCTACTATAAAAGGGTTTGTGTTAAAACAGGTAGAACTAAAACCTATTTTACAGCCTAATTTTAATTGATCTAGGCATTCTATCGCAGAATTGTAAAGCACCCATAGAATTATAAAGACACCGATCTCTCTGGTAATCCTATCCCAGAAGTTTATTTTCCAGTCTTCAAACACAACCCGCTGCTGTCCCACCCCTCAAAATACAGAATATCAAGAGAGATTTTTCATGTGTGCTATCTTTTCCCGGAAGTGCTCTAATATCCTCAGAGTCACAGCGTTTAGAGGTGAGAAAGTTGGAATATTTGGACCTGGAAAGAAAAAGCAATCTAGAGCTTGGGTCGAATGCAATTCCCGATCAATAGCGAGCCCTAATAAGTGTAATAGGTTTTAATCGAGTAATTATCCGAATTTTGACCCTATAATTTAGATGTTAGGAGAGAGTTTGCAAGGTGCTTGAAAGAGATATGCACAATTCGATAATAGGATATCGACCCAGGGAGTCCTACATGCCACTCTGGGGCGATTTCCCCCATTATCCAGCCTCTTTACGCTGCTAAGCACATTTTACCTTAAATGTAATCGAAGGAATTTAATTGTTTTTCCAGAGATAACCAGCATTTTGTCACAATTAGTCTGATTTGTCCTAAAAAAGCCAAGGGGAGAGAGAAAATTGAATCTGTCGCCCAGAGCAACGCTCAGCAGGCGGGGGGTGGGGTGGAGAGGGGAGATGGTTCTGAAGACGTGGGGGGGGGGGGGAGAGGGGAACATACATAAAAGTCATAAAAGCGACGTTGATACTTGGAAAATCCAGCCAAAGTGGGACTTATTTGATGATCTGAGAATGAATTTAAAATCCTGTTGGGCCTGCTCATTCAAATGGCCTGCAGCCCCCTCAATTCTCTCTGCAAGTTTGCTTCAGCAGTAACTTACACATGCCTGTTACCCTCGAGGACAAAAATAAGACACCAGGACGGAAGCTGTTATTCTGTGATATAATGCGGAGTCCGGTTCCATTCGCCCCCAGTAATCAAATGAATTCAGTGAGGCGTGATGGACCAGGTACATTTAATACAACATTACCCCCTGAAATGTAACGCTTTCTAGCCAGATCGCAGGCACCAGAGCCCAGGAGGAAGGCGCTTGACTTTTGCTAACTGTTTCTGCCCCAGATTTGCGTTTGTATTTCCTCGTTTGCAGAACTGCAGCTAAAGTCTGATTGAATTGTCAAGCCACCTGTTCGGGAAAAGGAAAGGAAGGCCCAAAGGGTACATTTGTCTGAGAGGGCATGCACACCACACCGTCTCCAACTTGGAAGTAGTGCCCAGCATTAAACTTTACGCAACTGAAAGGAGGGCCAGGCCAGAAAAGTTTCACCTTGCATTGGGCATATAAACCAGCAGACATCACATAGGTTAAACCAGTCAGACCTCGCTACACACTCAAACCACCCACTTTAATAAGTGGGAAGAGGTGCTTATAAAATGTTATGCTTTAGTCCCTCCGCATGTACCTATCTCACTGTACATTCTTAGCCAAGTGTAGAAGCAACAATTAAGGAACATTTGCCCTTTACAGCAGACCCCCACGTGCAGTTGCGCCCTTTATTGTATCTGACAGAAGGCAGTGGTGACGGTGGGTGTCTCTGAGACTCACCTTTAGAAGCATGTAATCACACTGCATAATATTTTCAGGCGCTCTTTATCATTCCCCCCCGTAGTCGGCTATTTGCTCCAGACACGAGTCAGACACTCTGTGGAGGTTAACATGCAAAACGTACTTACTGAGTAAGTCCGAGGACTTTTTGCACGTTTCAAAATCTTCACTCAGAGCCTTTTGATCTGCTAGTTCCATTCCTGACTCCTCGGGTTTATCCTCTGCCCCTAGAGTGAATTCGCTCCCTGCGGGTTTGTACAACACAGAACATTGCCGCTTTTTGCTGTTGAATTTGTTGGGATCCAGAATGTCCAGCACTGAAAAAGAGGTGGTTCTGTGGACCACGGGTAGGGCTGCCACTGCCCCCTCTTGTCCAGGGGTGTTGCTCTGATTGTCGCCTGGCCTGTCTCTATTTCCAGGACACGAATAGACTGGGAGGTCGTTGCTGGAAGAAAGTCTCTGGTCCCCGTGGCTGTCCATGCTTTCCCCGTGAAGGCAGCCGGACACTGGCTCCACTACAATGCCAGCCTGGCTTTCTGCTGCTGCTACTGCTGGGATAGAGATGTCACTCCCCTGAGTCTTGTCTCTGCTCACATTCATGACTTTTCAGAGCCCCTTCCAATTGCAACTCTTTCCCTGTCTGCCAACTTCAGCGGGAAACTCCTGTCTTGCAATCAACGCGGGAGCTGCTTTGTGTATCGTTAATTTAGCGCAGAGGCGAGTTGGTTCCTTTAGGTCTACAGGATTGCACGTGGCTAGGTCCAAGCTGAATTGGATTCTCCCGTGGATAAAGGAAGTCAAAGGGTGATGCTCCACTCAGTTGCTCCTTCTTTCTTCTCATCATCCTCACAGGGCTACCTAAACATTTATGCCCCCCCCCCCTCACTCACTCACACACACGGGCAAGGCTGTGTCTTATTTATGCATTCATATTTAGCAGTGGGTTGTAATTGGCTACAAATTAATCCCTTGCCCATAATAGTCAGTAATCTCCATCACTGGAGGAGAGAGACACTGGAAGTGTGTGTGGCTGAGAAAGGGGAGGGGGGCGGGAGAGGAGAGAGAGTGAAGGATGGTGTTGGCTGTGATATACTTAGCTGTCAGCTCTGTTTCAGCACACCTCCACTCATCTGGAAAGCATCTAAATAGCCTTATTTGGCGAAGTGGGAGGAGAGCGCTTTCTTTGAAATAATTGCGGGATCAATATAAAGAAGATATTATACACGCCGTATGGGAACGTAAGATCTCCCCTCCTAATGGTGTAGTTATATGATCGAAAGGATATTATTTGTGCTCAAAAGTGTGAACAATCTCACCTGTTTCACCCCCCCCACCCTTGCATTATTAAATTAGAACAATAGAATCAAATTGTTGTCCGAGGCTGACTGCTTTGAATTATACCGAGTGTATAGGCACATACATACACACGTTGTCCCTCCCCCACCCCATTAATTAAAATTACATATCAGATGAAAGTGCCTGGAAATACTAAGAGCAAAATAATAAGCTTAAACGACACAAGGCAAAACACGACGATCAATACATCCTAAATAACTGGGGGGGAGGGGATCTATTCTCGTCCCACCTAGAAATAATGCAATAAACACAGCCCATTCTCATTTCTGAGAAACACTCCTTCATTCATGGGGTTTGAATGCAGAAAAAAGGAAGAAATTAGGAAAAGCGTTGCCTCTGAACTACAAAAATCTGTTTTCCTTTCCTCCCCAGTTTTCTCTGTGTGTGCGCGCGCTTTGACCATATCAATTTCATTCTTGTTTTGGATGTCCAAATGGCTGCTTAGTTTGAATTAGCTGCCAAAAAAGGTAGGAAAATAGACAAAACATCAAAAGAAAATTAGATTTTTTTTTTTGTCTTTGAGGCTGGTGACACATACAAGGACAGGTCCTTTGCAATTACCGCGGGCAATGATCCTTTGGAAAGCAGAAATTAAAAATTGGGAGAAATAATGGGTAAAACAATCAGCTGTAATTTTGGTAGGGGTTGGACATGATTAGCCCATCAATGGGCTGGGCCCAGGGGAGTTCCTGGAGCGCTGGAGCCCACAACACCTCCCTCTCATATATTATAGACCAGCCCTTAGATTTTAATCAGACACCACAACAGTGTCCTTCCTCTTTTATTACTTTGTTATGCTTTATCTTTAAATTATAAATCACCTTCTGGGTGGAAATGGTATGTATAATCTCTGATCATGTGTAGGTAATTACGTCCTCCCTCACTTCCCTGACCTCACTGCCACACAAACACAGCTCGAGCTATATAGTTTTAATATAACATTTGGTTGTTTTTTTAAAAGCTTCTCTTTCTTCCCTTCTCCTGGGGTTGTGTCTTTGGTCTGATCTTTAGCTTTGGGGCAATTTCTCTTTCAATACTTCTGCCCGCAGCCATGGGAGATTGTTTATGAAAAGGCGATGTGTTTTAGGTAGACGCCAATGACTTTGATCAGATTTCCTATTGTCATCGTCTCAATTGGTACCTTCTCGGGAGGGAACACGGTTTTTAGGGGGCGGGGATTCTTATCTCTGGAGTACATTGGCGTCCTCGTAAGTTTCTGCCTGGGCACCCACCAATGTCTGGTCTAAATTGCAATTAAAACTCTGCGCTCGAATGTCCTAGCGGGGCCTATACAACACCGGGACCATCGACCAGCACTGCTATAAACGACAACAGCAGTTGAATTAATAATCATTTAATAACATATACAGGGCACAAGGCTGCACAATAAACGCTTCGAGGAAGGAAGGAAAGTGAATCTGAGCCCCAGATGTCGCGTAGAATAAATCTCTCTCTTTCTCTCTAGTGTACTGCTAAGACTCGCTTTCCATACACGATGCCGTGTGTTTATTTTTTGATGTACCCAATCAAAGCGAGGAATCAAAAGGCGGTGATTCTCTCGGTACAAGTGTAAAAGTTTTAGGGAGCAGAGAGCGCGCGATTAATAGAGACACAGCTGAGCATGGCAATGGGGTAGAATTCTGCTCCGAATTCTCCCTTTCTCCCCAGAGTAATAAACCGAAGCGGACAGACGCCTTTGTGCGCGCGCGCCCCTGGGTTTTAAAGCCAGTGTTATAAAGATGTTCTATTGCTCCTAATCACAATTGATTGTCAATTAGAGCCTCATTTGTGCAATCTCCATCCATCTGCCATCTCTGGTTATCTGTTCACCAGAAAGTGAGCGCTGATTATGGGGCACGAGATGAGTTGTTGTGACATGTAAATATCGCGCTCATGATCGGGGCGGGTGACCACTTCCCTCTTGCTCGGAGACAGTCCTAGTCCTTGTCCTTAAAAAAGGACACCAGCAGCATCACAGCCCGGGGGGGACGCGTTCGGGGAACGCATGGCTTGGAAGGGAAGGTGGGGCAGGGGGACTCGCAGGAGGGTTAGATTAACACCAATTAAATGCCATGTCATCAAACCTCTGCCCCTCCACCACCCAGGAGAATGGCTGGCATGGAAATGGCTCTTTCTTTAACCCAACAAACCAACCCTATCGGTTTTACAACTCTCCCGATAGCGATCTCTGTAGTTAGACTGAATTATATCTGCAGGGAGGGGATTTTTCTAAAGCCGGGAGGTGCTTGTGGTTAGATAGCACAGAACGGGGCAGCCTTTGCTTCCCACAGCAGCGTGGGTGAGATGCAGTGTGCAGAGACCCCCTGACTCCCTCCTCCTTTGGCAGGATGGTCGCCCCCACTGCAGCCAGTCTGGGAGATACTGCTGGTATAACACCGACGGCTGGGGCGGGTTTGCACTGCGGGCGGGTGCCCGGGGAGCAGGGAGGTAAACGTGGAGCCCTTTCAAACCATGTTTACACCCCAGGTCTTGGGGAGGCCGGGAGAGCAGAGCAGAACCGCTCGGTGCCAGGGGCGATGGATCCTTTAGGGGATCCCAGGCCCAGGCTGCTGGGCTTAGGGACGGGAGGAAGAGGGCATCATTTTGCCTACGAATGAAACAGCCCTGACCAGAGCAGCTGGCCAGTGGAACCCATCACTCTGTGGGGCTTCCCCTCCACCCTCGTGCAAGCCACAGGGGCTGGCTAAAGGGAGAGCGAGAGGCTAATACTTGGTGGTGGGAGGGCTGCCACAGAGCGACAGTCTCCCAGTCACCGACAGAGGTGAGCTGGGTCTGTCCTGCCCCATCCTCAGCAACACCACGAAGGGAGAGAGACGCCCTAGGCTCCTCTTATCTCAGATCCGCACAGGCATCAAGCTCCCAGGGACATTTTCAAATGACTTTTGGATCTAGAGGACGCTCCGTCCCCTTCCTTCAGCCCGCCTCAATGACCTCTGCCGGCGAGAGAGGCCCCTAGGCCAGGCCCTCTGTCCATCCCCCTGACTTCCTAGCCGGTTGTTAAAGCTACACGTTTACTGAGAACCAAGCTGAGATAAAACTGCTCCTTCCTCCTGATCCCTGAGTTGTCTAGGCTCAGACAATGCAGCCTGGCTCCTCATTGCATTTTCAACTGGAAGATGATCCTTAGACACTGAACAGCAAAGCGAGCTGCATAAAATCAGAGCCCCCTTGCTGGCCTGTGCGGCCATGGGGCTGGCTGCACTGACACGCGTCTCGTTGTTTGTCAGCACAGAACATTTGCATTTAGTAAATATCAACCTTAACACCCGGTGTCCCCCTTCTGCCTGGATGTGCTTTGCAGCTCTACAGAAGGGACTGGAGCCCTCTGCTCCATTCGACTCGGCAGGAGTGGCGGCCACGAACACCTCCCTGAGCACCGGCTCCAGCAGCCCGCACCGGAGTTTTTAAGCAACAAATTCCATTTTTTTTTAAATAGATTTCTACAACTCCGGTCAAAAACCGAAGCTTTTCTTTTTGGCCATTCATCATTCCCTTCCAGCAGCGCGGATCTCAGGGTAATTAAGGGCATTTATCGTGGTGGTAAAACAGTTTAGCAGTTCTTGTTATATTGGGAAGGTCACTTTGATGGATTTCCATGGGGGAAAGGATTGGGGGAGGAGGGGGGGCTGATTCGGGGTGGAACAGGTGCAAGAGAAATCCGCCTCGCTTCCCCCGCACTCTTGATCGGTTTGCATTGATCAGAAATGTGCCCTGGGAGCAATGGAAGGTCACTGAGGATAAAGTCTTTCCAGTATCTTTCCTGAGTCGATGGAAACACATGGTCCCTGCAACGCGGAACATCAAGTTGGAGTTAACTCCCGTCTGTACAATCCAGATACACCGCGTGGGAAGGAAGCCTGGATGGCCCTTCCACGCCCCCCTACCCCCCCACAAAAGTAACACATGCAGAAGAAAGACTTTTCAAATCCCACCTTTTAATTTAAATCGGAAACTCGCGCATTTTATCCAAAGGGTTTGGAGGCCAAGTGACTCCAGGAACTTTGGAATCCGACTGAGTTTTGTCCTGTCCTTTAAAATATCTGCGCGATTAGGAAATTTTCAGACCAAGATACATGTTTTTTTCTAAGAACAAAGATCTAAGCTACCTACGGCTAATATTAATTCAAATACAATAAACGCAGGGAGGCAAATATCGCCTTGCAGAAATGTGCTTTAACCCCATTTCCTGATCGCACCGCTCCTGTAAACTAGAGCCCGGGTAGTGGCAGACCCACTAGAATGAATATGAAAGGAGAATAAAGGGGATAGAACGGATGAGATAAGGGGACTAGAAAGCTAGGGATATGCCATGTCTGTCTCCCCTGGAAGAACTGGAAACGGGAGGACTGAAATTGGAAGTCAGGACGAGAGAGAGAGAATGTGTGTGTGTATGTGTGTGTGTGTATTGTACGTTTATCAGAAGCAGCGTCTAATGACATCTATTTCTTGGGCACATAGCGGGATGATCTATCGATATGTCCTTTAACCACTACCATTTTCTCTTCGATTCCAAACATGGCTGGTTTCCAA